ATACAACACCACAGAATTCCCTTAATTTCTCCTATGCATATAATTGTCTTTCAGTGCTCTTATATATATATGTTGACTGTTAAAATACAATTCTGTTCAGTTACATGACCATGTGGGAACAGCAATATTTTATTTATTGATTCGACTCCAATGCCCATTCTAAGAGGGATTAACTTATTTTCAGGTGTTTTTATGGAAAATAGAAAAAACTAAGCTATTCCCAGTTTTCTACTCTAGAAAGTCTAGTAAAGCAGGATAAGCAGGACATTTTTATTAATGCATCCTCACCTGCAGGAGTTCATTTGAAGAATCATCAGGCCTCTGTCTAATAGCGTAAGGACAAAATAATGATTATATATTCCCAGTCCACCATTAGAAAAGTATTTGTTTCACTTCTATCCTGAATAATTTGAGAAGAACGTGTGGAAAGAATGCTCTTCCTGTTCTGGGTCTTGTCCTCTATTGTTCAGGCCTTTGTTTAGAGGGAATCTAAAATGCCACTGCACAGTTATATCTCACCTTAATGCACTCAGGCAAAATCTCCCTCTCCATTCTCCATGTATGCTTCACAGACATTTTTAGAGGCACAAAACAACCTCAAAATGCCACCTTGCGGAAAAAAAAAAAAAGGCATTGGTAGCAGATATTTCTTCTGACTCTTGATTGACAAGAATATGACTCTTTCTGAAGACTCCAAATTGCCCTTTATCTTCATTAAAGGCAAAAGTGGTTTCAGAGTTCTTGTTATTGTAGAAGGCTTTGAGTTCATGCATTGAATCAGTGGCAAAGTTGACAGTGAAAATAAATTGCCCTTTATCTTCATTAAAGGCAAAAGTGGTTTCAGAGTTCTTCTTATTGTAGGCTTTGAGTTCATGCATGGAATCAGTGGCAAAGTTGACAGTGAAAAGCTGCAAACTATCCCCCAAGATCACCCCCACTCTATCTTTCTTGCAGAGATCCTCAGAGAGAAGGACTGGGTTTTGCAGAGAGAAGCAGCACAGTCTATGCAGAAGAACCACATTTATGTCTCTGCTAAATGCTTTATGCATCTGCAGTGCTGGGACCAGATTTGCCTCTGCATGCCAATTTTTCAAAAGAAAAGCCTTGGCTTTTCCAGATTAGTGGTGGGATATGTTTCAGCCAGACAAACAGATCAGATACGCTTCCATCTGTACTGAGCCTGGACATAAACCTTTAAAAAAATGTCCCTTCACAAAAACTTCTGCACAAATTATAACAGCTCTCCACCCCTGAGAAACCCTAAATATGGGAAGAACATGGTCAAATGTACTCTGAGAAAATCAGTGACAAGCATCACTAATAGAGCAGATCAACACACGAGTTGAGTGCCTCGTCTTTGGGGCCATAGGATGCTCGTGCTCTGTGGAACAACTTGCAGCAGAAAGGCCAGGTATTGACTCTGGCCCTGTTTCCCAGTGGAGGCACTGGCAGCTTACAAAATGCAGAGGCTCAGCAATAGAGGAGAACAAAAGCATACCTACAGAGAAATTCAGCAGAAAACCCCCGCCATCTCTTCAGCTGATGGCTACATCTGAATTGGTTATCTAGATTCCCTGGATAGATGATGAACGGAAGCATTTGTCCAATACCAGTTACATGCCCTACATGGCTCTTCTGACTACAAAGTGCATCCCCTTGACTAGCTCAGGCATAGATTCCTGTGAAACCTATCCCAGAGAAATTGTCCGACAGTGCAAAGCCACTAGGGCACAAAATTACCTGTGACAGAAGCATTAGGCCCATCTTCTATTCTGGGTGCACAGTTGTGGCTGAAACACACTGTGTGGCCTCTTCACAGTTAAAGAGAAGGTTTAATCCTGCTCAACAGATGCACTTCCCTGATTTGAGGCTTGTCCACAGGAACAGACTTTGGCGGTGACCTTTTATGGGAGTATATTCAGCCACAATAATACAGTGCAGAGGGAAGTGCTTACAGTAAAAACCACAGATGTTCATCACAAAATGTGGTTTCATCAACTACAACATATTACAAAAATGTACAAGGTCTTTAAATTGCAGAAAAGCTTATGCATTTCAGAGCCACTGAAGGAAAGTTCTCATGGTAGAGAATATTCCAAACTGTATAACCTGTGAAGTCATCACTGTTACCTAAACTTGACATTTCTGCTTGTTTTCTTTGTGTTCTCTTTTGCACAAAGCAGGCAGCTGACAAAAATGTCAATTCCTTCCAGTCGTTGTGAGTCTGAGGAAATACATTTGGAACTGGTTTATGTCCTCTAAATTACAACAATAACATTGTGTGTGGGTGTGGGTGTGTGTGGGTGGGTGAGAAAAAATTTAAACTATCAAGAGCAAGACTAAAAGGTGACAAACTTCTAAGAAGAACAAAATCCCATGTTTGGGTTATCTCAAAGCCAAACATAGCTGAAACAATTCTCCAGAAGAGCAGAATCAAATGACAAGGAATAAAGCGTAATTGGCTCAAGAAGTCTTATCCATGAGTAATATAAAACTTGCTCATAAACAAGTACTATAAAATTTGTGATATCTTTCTTTCAAGGAAAGTAACAGTCAGAAAACAATTTCATGTTTTTTAAGTGAAACTCACACATTAGGCAAATTTTCACCTTTGTGGACCAATAATCTTGGTTTTAATTGACTTCTTTATCCTAGCTTCAAATAATAGAAGATTCACTGCACCGTAAACTATGGATACTGGCTACATTACTATGACATGTGCTATTGCTCTGGCTTGCCTCTGTGTGACATGTCATAAATGCACTAACTATCAGCACCGGATTTGTCAGGGAATTGGAATAGGCAAGGGGGGAAGTGAGCAAATACTCTAAGTCTGCCACTGTGAGTAATCACAAGTCCCATCCACTTGCAGGGGTGATCTTGGGCTGTGTTGTGTTTTAGGAACAGCACTCCCTAGTTCAGTGCCCCCTTACAAGGAGACTCTCCCAAATCAGATGTCCATTGCTTGTTCCGACCTACAATGGGAGACACAAAAGGCAGAGATTATGGGCTGAGATAAGAACAATTTACTGGAAACAGCAATGAGATAAGAAAATTAACAGTCACGGCAGCAATATAATAGCAACAGTGTACAAAGAGAGGGTGATTTACAAGCAGAATACTCACTAAACTGAGACAGTGGTAGCTGGTACATCCACCATGTTTTGCCATGACTGGAAATGGTGCCCCTTCCTCTCAGAAGTGTGAGAGTTGTTTCCCCCACCCCAGACATGGTGTAAGATGGTATGGGGTAACACTGTGTTTGCCACACTCACATGGCTCCAAACTACCCTCTCAAGGGCTACTGGGAAAATTAACTCAGTCCTTGGCTGGAACTAGGACAGCCTGCAATCCATTTTTAGAAACACATAGTGCCTAGAACCCAACTTCTAGGCATTCAGCAGCAGAAATGTGGGAAATACTGCGGGGTTCAACATTACCTTCAAGACCACCCTTCTCAGTGGACCATAGTGGCATGGGAGGATGGAGGGCACAGAAACCCTTCCTTTTTGAGATACTGCAGATCCCTCTGATTTCAGGAGAAACACTCCTAGTTGCTGGAGGGAAGCAGTCAGGCCTTCTTTCCTCATCTATGGCTCTGGAGGAAACAGCAGATGCATCTCCAGAACCCTCAAAGACTGGCAGAGGAGCATCCAGGAGAACAGCCCAGGGCATGTTGCCCAGCAGCTTCCTGTCATGCATTCCAGGATAGTCTCCTAACAGTGATTGGGGCTGCCATCTGGATGGACACAAATGTGGATTTTAGAATGGCCACAGGTTAACATTTAGAGGAAACACTGACTTCCACTCTGTGTTTATTCTGGGGATACAGATACTTTCTGTCCTAGTTATTTCTGCTTTTCACACTTTTCATGGCCCCTACAGAAATGTTTTCTGGCTCTGCAATACTGTCAGTAGGCAGGGTCATCTCACTCGTTGTACTTGTGTTGTCATTTTTTTTCTAGCACAGATAGAAAGTCAGCAATGTCACAGGATTTGCATACAGCTTGCTCTTCAAGCATAGCCTTTAATAGAATCACAAAATGACTGACATGCAAGAAATTATTAGAGAGAACATGGAAATATAGCCACCAAATGCACAGGTCACTCACTGCAATTTGATAGAGGGCAAAACTCACAGTGCAGTACCAAGTTCATATGATTCACAGCTAATTCAATGACACCTCTTACACACAGGAAAATTACAATCCACCACAAGAATTTCCTGCCGTTTCTATCTTTTTGTCTTAATAGTCTCCAATATTTAATATTCCAGCTACACAGCATTTAAATAGTTTTTAAATAGCCTCCCCATTCTCAAAGCAAAGATTTTCAGCCTTCCCATGCCTTAAAGTCACTTAGTCATAAAGAATTGTCACCCTTCTCATAGTCTCAGCACATCCTGTTTGTCCAGCTACAAAGACAGCAAGGAAAACTATGAGCTCATTAATTCTCTTCTCAAGTCTGAACCAAAAGAGCAGTCACTGAGCAGGAGTAACCAGCAACATACCCTCATGATGCACACAGCCTATTGCTGATTTGGTGCTGGTTGTTTCCTAGGAGCTGAGCAACCCTGCTGGTACACCAGAATTTTATAAGTGTCATTTTTTAGTAGCTCCCAAATAACTCCTATAACAAATATTCACTCAATCAAGCAATTAGATTGGGAAAAAAAAATGTTAGTATTTTTTCTATGTAGTACTAGAGCTAATATTGAGAGATTTTTAAACAAGCATTTCTGATTTCATTGCAACGAGCAATGTCTGCCACTGTTATGGCCACTAAAATGTTTTGACTACCATGCCTCATTTGCAGCAACCATAAGTTCAGAACTGAAATACAAAGCAGGAAAACAGCAAATATTTGAATGACTTATTGGGTTCTACATCAGCATTTTCATGTTTCCTCCAGTCACTGCTAAATGACCACTCCTCAGTTCCAAACAAAAGCTAGCTTTTCATTGATGCTGACTGCTTCTTTTCACATTAAATGTGTTTCAGCTACACCTCTGTCATTTTAGACACCCTGGACAGATCTACATAACCTAATCTCCACACATCTCAACCCACTGTGCCCTGTATCCTACTGACCAGACAAGAAAGGCAAACAACCATTTCTATGCAGAGAGACAGTACAGCCTTGGTGAATGTGGGGGACTGTGAGCAGGTAAGTTAATGACAGAATTCTGCTGATTCTTCAGGAATGATTTCTTCATTATTTAATATCATCTCAATGATTAGAATGTCATTATTGTCAGCCATGGCTGTTAATAACTTGCTGTTGCCTTACCTCATGGTCTGCTTTGTTACAGTATCAAGACAAAGATTTGCCCCATCTAATTTACATGTTCATCACACAGTCTAAGCTAATCAGCTAGGATTTTCCATAACCAATGAAGTATATCTAAAATACATATCTAAGTATCTTTGAAAAACTTGCTCTGTGATGGTGTCTGTTTCTCTCCCCTTATATGAAAGACATTAAATGACTGTCTTTGATAGCCTAGTTCCCCTGTGTGTTCTTAATTTAGCTTTGACAGCTAGAGTTAGGCAAGACAGATTTCATATTAAATTGCCTTTTAGACTTACATTCAGTGACTTATTATAATTAGCATATGTAATATAAATTCTTCCTGATTTCCTTCTAAAACTATTTATTTTAAGCCATGCATTGCTCGGTTAATTCACACATCAGAATTGGTCTTTCAGAGCTGTGGCACTTCACTGAAACATTGTTACTGAAACAATGGAAATGAAGAACAATGTATACAGCAGATTCTCATATTCTAAGATAGATAAAGCAAAAATGTGCATTAACCAACTTTTCACAGAAAGACCAAGTGAAACCACTGGATAAACACCTGTCCAGAAAAATTATTCCAAAGGTGACCACCATGAGCCAAACTCCCCATTCTCCCTCATTTAGCTCCTCTCACCAATTTCATTGCTTCAGATTACAATTATGTAAGAAATGTTTTCACAGTATATTTATTTCCAAAGTCCCTTTATTACAAGGATTTGTTTTCTCTTATTTAGTGCTTCCAGTTTCATCGCTGAGTAGAACACAGAGTATTTGTAGCTATGCAGGTAGCAAGGATCCCTGCTAGATCCATGTTGTATTAACCCATCAACATAAAAGGGATGAAGACCACCCCAAACCAGTCCAGCCCCAGTCTGCCCCACTGCAGGCAGCTAAGGGGAGAAGATCAACAGCAAGTCAACCAAAGCACACAGATGACTTGTGGACATAGCACATTTAACAGAAATGTTGCATTCTTACATAGTTCTATCCAGGACAACTTTGCATCTATCTTGGCTCAAACTGGATCTGAATGCAATCATTTTTGAAATATCATCATTACATTACTTGAAGGGGCACAGTAAAAACAGGTTAAGACTATCCTGGGTCTAGAGAATATGGGGTGATTAAGTCCTATGGTCTTTGTGCAAGACCTTAACCCGCATTATAAATATACAATTCCTGTTGCAAATAGCAAAGTTAAACACGTTCTTTGCAAACGGCAGCAGCTGGACCATGGAAAGGTCAGCTGTGTGTGCAGTGGGTCTAGCTGAAAGGTCACAAGAGAGGCAAATAACGGTGATCTTTAGCATGGTCCACACCATTTCTCCCTTTGGAAAACACACACTAAGTCTCTCTGGCCAAACCTCTCCACATCCTCCCTGTGTGCAGAGAGAGGAGGATGAAGGGTCAGTGCACATCACTTGTGGCTCTCTGCTAGGGGCTGTGCTCCAAGAGGTCTTCTGCCAGTACAGGCAGAGAAGAGACAGAGAGCCCAGCTGGGTCACATTGGGTCCACAAGCACATTACAGACATAGCCAGTCTATCTTTCTTAATGCTTTTCTTGGTTTAAGTAATTTTTGTTAGTTTTTTTATTAAAATTGTGTATACTACCCACATGCACCAAGGCTCTGAAATACAAAAATTTTCATACACATATGGAAAGACAGGGTGTTTACACTTACTGTACTTTACCTCATGCTCTGCAGTTAATCATGCTTCAGAGCAAACCTCTTAAAATCTAACATGATTTAAGAATGGAAATTATAAACTCATAGGTAACTACTTCAGAATTGAGACTCAATTAGTTGATGCTTGTTGACCATATTTTTTCAAATATGAGGAAATAGCTGTAATTGCACACTAACCTATAAATAACAAAGTTATACATTAAAAATAAATAATATTTAATAAATAATAATTATCAATGTTATGATCATTGATATTTATATTATTATATAATATTTATAGTATATTATTAATAATATAATAGTAATAATCATTCAATTGATAGATAATTAACTATTAACAATAATTAAACTACTAAATTATTATTAATGAATTAATAATTAATAATTAAAATTTTAAATATTTTCCAAATAGTTTTCTAATTGGTGGGTTCCAGGAAATTTCACTTTGCTGTTAAGAAAATATAATACCTTTGAGAGTCCGGTTCTGTACCTTTTAGAGTTCAGCTCTTAATCCATGCATTTCTTAATCTATTTCTTTGCTCCAGAGAGGTCTGTCAGGCCAAGTCAAGCCAGCCTTTAGAAATGATGATGCTCAGTGAAGCGGGGCAGGGAGCACCCATGCAAACTCCACTACTGGTGGGAATGGGTTAGGGGTTGAATTCTATATGCATAATTGTGAACTGGTTTCCATTTTAAGGTAGACAGAATTAAATAAAATATAAAGGTACCTACTGTATAATAGTGTATATATAAAATAAGGTAGAATGGTTGCACTGAATCACAGGAATTTATAGAAATAGACAAAAAAACAAACTCACCTGCTTAATTTAAGAACATCACCAATAAAAAAGAAGGCAGAGAAAAACATTTATATAAAACTTGTTTAAATGCCACCAAGGAACAGTGTACAATAGACAAATTTAGCATTTTGCCCATGAAAATATTCTCCAAATTAGCTGTTGATTTATTCCCTGTGGCATGTTGCTTGAGAGATTGGAAGGAAAAGTCTTTTATTCTCTAAGGATTATTTCCAGCATCCCTCAAACCCAGAGGCTGAGCAGAAGGCAGCTGAACTGGAGGTGTTTTTCTGCCCTTCCCTCCCATGTCTCAGGCTGCTGCCCCAGCACCTTCAGCTGCATGCACGGGAGTCGTGGTGAGCTCCAGGCGTGGCCCTCGGCTCTCACTGAGGTCCCATCCCACTGCCAGCTGGTGACAGAAGAGTCATTTGTCCTTATGGCCCACACTCAGACAACAGACACGCAGCTACCACACACAGCACAAGAATCAGCTGGACATGGATTTCAATTTCACTGCACCAGAGGGAAAGAAACCCATGTTCTTTCTATGAACTCCTCTCCTCAGCAGAGAGAGCCACCCCCCATGCAATCACTGCTAGACATTTTTTTTATTCAGTAAGCCTCTCAGAGATAAACAACTTTGCTATTAGTGCATTGCAATGAAAATAAAATCCATGGCAGATGGTTGCCAGTGAGTCTTGTTTAAACACTTCACATAAAAAGGGAATGGCAGAGAGACACAAGTGTAAAACAGAAATTGGTGGAAATTAACAATGTTATGAATTCACCTTTGTCTTACAGACCCCTTTAACCATGGAAAACTCAAGATAATTGAAGATTTGCCCCTTTCTGTTTCTTCCACTCTAAAAATTTTGTTAAAGTCTATTTTACATACAAAATATACTTTTTACTTCCGTAAAAAAATGTGAATAAAGAAGTCGAGGAACATGAAATAAATATATACATGATATGCCTCCTGCACAGGAAAGGAAATAGTAGAGAAATGTTTTTTTATTATTATTATTCTTAAAACTTATTGTAGAGTTGTAGGGTTATTGAAAGAGATTATTACTGTCATCTTAATCACTAAGGATGAGCTATGTTGTTTAGACACATATTCTAAGAAAAAAAGCCTGAAATTGGAGCAAAATGGAAGGATAACTATTTTTGCAAGCAGCTCACACAGACTAATTTCATTGAAGATTAATATATTTTAATGATTTATTTTATATTTAATTGAAAACAAAAGCCACTTACCTCTGTTATAAGGACTTAATGAAAGACAAGAATATATGGTTTAATACTCATGTGTGTCCCTATGCACCTTTAAGTACCAAGTTTATTTCAGTGTTTTATTACCAGCTGTCTCAGTGTTCCCACAAGTAATGGTCAGCCCAGCCAAAAGCTGCCTGTGATAGAAATTGTGAGGAGTCCCAGGCTAACAGCATACAGTGTATCAACACATTCTCTTTTATGAGCTTTAAAATGGATTTTTCCAATTTCACAGTAAGTTGCTTTGTTCTTCTACTATGGAGATGAATAGAAGTGCTATTTTTGTACCATGTTATATAATTTTGTCAAATATCTTCATTAAACTAGATCAGTCCTACTCTTTTCAGAATCTACTACTTCAGTTTTATTTGCATCTGTCAAATAAATTTGTAGATATTGATCAAAGATCTCTTAGAGCACCTTTTCTTCCTGTAACTCCACCTTCCAGCACTGAGGACAGAAAAAGCACATGACAAGATCTAGGAGTATTGTTCCTTCATTTCCCTCTTCATCACCCCTCTAGCTTTGTGGTGGGGAAATCCCATCAAAATACCCTAGATACTCCTCTGCCTTATATTTTTATGAGAACACAGCAAGATTTGGAGAGACTTTCCTTGCACCATGGCCATCTCTGCAGTGTTATTCCCAGTGAGGATGTTATCAGCCTTAGGCTGTGGCAGTGACCATCATAATCCACTTCTAGCCCCAGACCCCTGCCCACCAAGGAATAGGATGGGGCAAGATGAGGATGTATGGCAAAAAAATTATGGCAAAAATTTGTGACAAATGGTATGATTGTAATCAATGACCAAAAAAAATGAATGACAAAACAAAAAAGTTAATGGTAAAACAATGAAGGAATGAGAATGCAAAACAGATAATTAGGTGTACAAAAAAAAGACAAGATCCAGATTGTGAAAAGTAAAAAAAAAAACTATTTACAGAGAACAGTATATTTCTCACAAAGCCACAAAGCACTGCATTCTTGCTTTATTATCCCAGTATATTTCTCACAAAGCCACAAAGCACTGCATTCTTGCTGTAACTATAAAATTTATTTGGATAATAAACCCAGACCAACTTCAAACTACATAACATGTCGTGCAAC